GAAGCGGAAAAAAATGCAAAAACTAAAATCTACGAAACTTTTTTGTATTCCAATCATCGAATTGACGAATTAAACCTTCTTCTAGATCACCGTCGGCGTGCGCAGCGTGAAGGAGGTGACCATCTCGACGCCGATGGCCCCGCAGGAGCTGTTCACGCTCTTGTTTTCGTGCTGCCCCAAGGAGGAGCCGCAGATGGCGTGCATCCAACAGGAACTGATCATTGCCTGCGCCGATTTGGTGGGGTTTTTGAGCCAAAATAATGCTAATTTATGCTAATTCAAATAGATAATGCTAATTTCTTACAATTTTTTCAGATCGGCCACAGCCCCGAGTCCTTCTCCGGGGTGCTGACCGTCCGGATGTCGTGGCTGGCGGACGCGATTCAGGTCGGTTTTTAATGTTCCAATTTTTTTAGTGATGTTATTGTGTTATGTTGAATTTAAAGCGTTAAATGTATAAATAACTTTTTTTAGATGCTTCTCTCCTATGTGAACGCCTCGGAAGCCGTGTCGGACTCGTCGCCCCGCACCGGCTCGCTTCACTTCACCCCGCCGACTCCGGGGACAACGGGGATTCCACACGGTTCGTAAAATTTAACTTTCGGAGAGAATCCTCTGAAAAAAGATTCCTCAAAGACCTCGGCTGGTATGCCCTCTTGGCTCGTTAAGTTTAATGCATAAAAAGTCGGAAAATCCAGTAAATAACGTGCTAAAAGCCTTTTTTACAAATAAGTACGATTTCCGAAAGAAAGATCTCTGCTTGCACGTTTCTATAAACTTTATTTCATCCAAAAGGCTGAAAACGGGCAAATTACTTGTCGAAAAAGTGTAATTTTTGAATTGGGCAAAAAATACACTGGGATTCCCAAGGAATCTTTGCTAATTTACACATTTTTCTACGAATTTGAACCATGAAGAGATGCGTTTTTAAGGCATTTGAATATATCTGTCGCCCTCTCTCTCTCTCTCGCTCATTTTATAATTTTTTTTTGGTTGTTTAAATTCGGCTTTGAAGAGGCCAAGAAGCTTCGAATCTCGTTAATTTGGTCTCTCTCCCCCCCTCGGTCCTCTCTCGCTCTCTCTCTCTCTCTCTCTCTCTCTCTCTCTCTCTCTCTTTCTCTACTCTCCAAAATAACAATCCAAACCTCCCGATCTTCGTATTTTCCCACCCGGCCCTCTGCAACCAGGCGGCAATCAGGTGATCCGGAAACGGCTGAGGTTGCGCGTTTCCGGTTCCCCCTAGGCGCCCGGAAATGTTTTTGGGTGTTTTTATCGTCCCGAAAAGTGAGGAAAAGTGATTTTACCATAATCCCCTGCCTGGGCCCGCCACCACCGCACTTTTTCGGTATTTTTGGGGCTCAGGAGGCCGGATGGGAGCCGATATTTAGGCCCAAAGTGAGAGGGTGGGATTAGCGCAACGGAAAAAGTTTTGTTTATTGGAAGGGACACGCCATATTCTATAGTAATCTGGGGGCAATAATTAACCACTCTCTCTCGTTCCGTTACACACCTAATTTCGGGGATATCCGAGGAGGGCAGGCAAACAGCTTTTGTGTATGGTTTTGCGAGGAGAATGGCGAGGTGGGGAGGTCCAGGAGAAGAATGCGGTATTTTTAAAGACATTGACCTGAAAGGACCCCGGGTCCATTCTAATCTTATAGAGGAGAAGAATAGGTTGATCCCATAGAAAAATTATTGTAGGCCCACATTGAATATCGGAGAATACGAATCATAAAAGCGCACACGTGACGAGGATTATTTGGGTTTTTGAGAGTTTTTTTGTGGAAAAAATTCGGATGAATAGAAAATCAAAAAGTGCACTCAAGACCGAAAAAATTGAGGCATGCTAGCGGAGATGCTTTAGGAATTTTTGGGATAATTGTAGGGCTTTAAGATAAAGAAAACGGAAAAAAACCATGAAGAAATCACGGGCATGCGAGCAACGATTATTTGGGAAGCTCGGCTAGGGTCATGTTGGCAGAGGAGCTTTGGGCAATACGGGCATTCGAGCATGCGAGCAGAGAGATTGAGAAACTCGGCTGGGGGGCATGCTAGCAGAGTTTCTTTGGGAAATTTACTGATCCTAAAATGGCAAATATTCGTAAAAACCGGGACGTGCGAGCAGGGTTTCTTTGGGGCGATCGCTAAAATCTTAAAATCGTATGTCGAAAGCCGTTATGAATCCATTTTTTCAGAAGTCCGTCGGAAGAGCATCTACGACCTGTCGCCGACGATCATCAAGGACGTGCTGGGGTCGCTGATGGCTCGAAAAGTGTGGCATTTACTGTAGGGTTCTAATTTTTTTTTCGTGATTTGTTGTGTTTTCAGGACCCCACTGCAAACTCGTCGACTAAATGGTGCGCTGAACCGGATGCCGGAAGGTTTCTACGATCGAGTTTGGGGGATTTTGGAGCGAGCCGATCATGGGATTTCCATCGCACATCAATTATTGCCCCAGGTACCGTACTCTATCAATCTCTGCTGTCTCTCTCTCTCTCTGGTATTTCGTCAATTTTTACATTTTTAGCAACCTACCCTGCTCGACATGACCAAATTCGAGCTGAACTTTGCCTACCGTATCGAGCAGATGATGAGCCAGATCGCCCATCCGGAGTATCGACAGATTTTGGTGGAGGTATCGTAGCTTCGGTCGGGGTTTAGGGGTTGAAAACTGCTTCATTTTTCCTATAGGTGAAAAACATAGCCAGTGAATTTCGAAGAGTTTCCACAAAGATCTTTGCTAGTTTACCCCATTCAAGCGTTTTTCTGACCTCACTAGTCCAATTTTAGTCTCGCGGCGGATTTCGGCCTAAATCTATTTTTTTTGCCGGGATTCTGGAACTAAAATAGCCAGCAAAATCCGTTGTGACGACGCACGCCGCATCGTCGCGACCATCCGGATTGTGACGCTCCGGCGGATTTCACTTTTTTCACCGCCCCGGCTATTTCCAGATATTGCAATTTTCCGCGGCTTAAAAGGTGTAGTCGGCAGTCGGCAATAGGGCATGAGAAAATAGCCATCTCTTCAAATTGGTCCGAGGGGAATCCCTTGGAAATCGGCGATTACTGTGGTCCACTAGGCCGGGGGGCACCTTTTAGAAATCAGCGCCCAGAATTTCCAGCCCGACTGCCCGGATGAAAAGGTCGAATTTTCAGCCGGGGATTATGACAGCCCGGGAGCTTATCCGGGGATCTGGCTGGCCATCTGGATTGTGGTGTTATTTCGAAAGGATTTTTGGCGATTGGGGTAGCCTGAGAAATGTCGCGCTGAAAGGAGGTGCACGGCAGCTTAGTGAGGTCAAAATTTGAGCCGCGGGAACTCTAGGGCTGTTTTTGTGTTGCTACATTGTTGTTGCGATAGACTGGCAAAATCCGACAGCACTTTTTTGAGATTTTCACGGTTTCCGAGGCGTTCCCGAGCACAATAGGTGCAGAAATAGAGGCTACGTCGGCAGACGGACTTGCAAAATACGGGTTACCGCTACATACGTCCAACTATGAGTCAACACGAGACAAAACGATGATTCCAAGCGAAGAATTGTATGGAAAAACAATGTTGTTTTCGAGACTTTTAGTTACTACTTTTACTTACTTTTCCATCGGAGCTTTCCGATTATCGGGGGGGGGGGATTATTTTCGATGATTCCAGCTGTGCGTAGTAGTGTAATATTAAGTATTTTAATATAGTTTTTACTAAAATTTGATGATATTGAAAGTGGCAGCATTATAGAAAAACTCCTAAATTAAAAAGGTCCCGAAGAGCCGATTCCCCAAAAATCTCTGCTAGCTTGCTCAACGCATTCGCGTTTTAGCGCATAAACTTTTTTTCGCGCGCAATAAAATACCGTCTGGTTATGATTCAGAGCGCTAAAAACGAAAAAAAATACCTGCTAGCTAGCCCTAGTCACGCAATTTTCAAAAGAACCGGCGTTAAAAAAGCAATTTTGACGTTTCGTGAAACCGGGTCTAATTCATCTTCGACGTGTTTAGCCCGGATTCCTAAGACATCTCTGCTAGCTTGCCCGGCCGCTGACGTTTGGTGCTCCGTCAGTTAAATTCGCTTGTCAAAAATGGTTTATAGCGAAAACCCGGTCCGCACAGGGTTAGAGCGAATCTAATCGGGATTCTTCAATAATCCCTGCTAGCTCGCCCGTTAAGCTGTTTCGCTTTATAAACCCCGTCATTATTAGTGTGTCAGTTCCTTACCGAATTAAGAGACCCACAAGAAATCATAGGATATCCCAGTAATAACAAAGCATTTTTCCATGGTCCCTTCCTTTTCACCGTTCCCATATTTTTGTAGGATTGCCGACTTTCAAATTAAAGTACCCCCTCCATCCCTGGCCATGCTGACTTTGCGGCGTCAGCAAAGCCGATTGCGGCCTTGTCAGCACCTGTCGACCACCACCGGATTATTACTGTAGTCGGCGCACCTTTTCGCTAAATTTTGCGCGATTATATGAGGCGCGACACTTCAAATCCCCAATTTCGATGGGGCCTATTTACCGGCACGGGGTGATTTTACGACGATTTCCTGGCCCTTGGGTGGAGCTTTAGCTTATGACCAGCCATATATTGCCCGGCTTATCCGGCGGCGGGGTCAGCTGCCGACTACAGGCTACAAGCGGGGAAGTCGGGGCTCGATTGAAAATGCAAAAAAAAGGTATAGTAAGCAAGTTTTAAAGGGCCTGAAAAGGGCGGGAATCGAACTCTCTGACCGCTAGGTCTCTAGACAAATGCGCGTTAGGACAAATAAGTTGCCGTAATCAAGTTCTACGGGAACTGAAAAGCGCGAAAATCGACCCATGCCCTCGACTAGGTCTCGACAGCTACGTGGTACGACAAATGACGCTTTGAAATAGATTTTGGCGCCATAGAAACTACAGATTTGGCAAAAAGCCAAGGTGTGCCGACCCAGTCGACAGAAGGGGTCGATTTTCATGTTTTTAAACCCTGTAAAGGGGCTGGAAAGGGAAAAATCTGACGCTAAAGATTTCTGGCAATCTGCCACTTGGACGATAGCTTACTGTCTCGGCTTCTGTGGCAGATTTTCGAGTTTTTATGAAGTTTTCGAGATGCTACTGTAAACATACCGACTGCAAAATATCTGCCTGTGTTTTTTCGTTTTGACTGTAGCCCCGGATTCTTAAGATGTGCGCATAGATCAGACTCGTGCTCGGATGCCTTTTTCATATTGAGTAGGACCCACATGAAACTCCGTGAGATCCGGCCACAAAGCTGCAAATTCGCGTAAAAATTCCGAAAAAATAACTATGTACTAATCCGCCTCCTCAGCTGACACGGTCTGTTGCTTGTGATTGGGGTCGGTGTAAAAAAACAGACACCAGGAGCCGGATTTGGCGAAGGTTCTGGAAACGCAGATTTTGGGTGCCATTTCGGGAGTCATGTAGCCGGTAAAAAATTTGCAATTCGAGGATACGGTATTCGGGGCGCAGTTTAGAAAGTGTTGGCGAATTGGCGAAATTTTTAGAACTGAAAAAGGCCATTCTGTTTCGGAGTCAAATGGCCGGTAAAAAAAAATTAAATTTGAAATAACAGGATACGGTAATCCAGGGCGTATTGTAAAAATTTGAGGAGGTCGAAAAAAGAACCATATTTTAGAGGGCTCAAAGGGGATACGGTATCCCGGGTGCCGTTTAGAAACTAAAAATTCGGAGTGGTGGCACTTGAGAAAACGCGAAATTCGATTACGATGGCTTGGGACGCGTTTTAAGACAATCAGAGAAATTAGAATTTTTCGCAACTCTGGGTTACGGTATCGGGGGGCATGTTTTAAAGGGACGAGGAAATGTTTAGAGAAAAAGGAGAAAAGAAACTATTTTTCCAGCTCCTCTGCATCATCGCCACGATGCTCGAGCGGAACCCGGAGATCCACTTTGGCGAGCTGCTCGACTGCGACGAGATGATCAAGCAGGCGTTCATCATCTACGCGAATTCGGCTGGAATTAAGGATACGGTATGTTTTCAATATTTAGCATTTTTCACGGTTAAATTCTGTGTAAATAAAATTTTTAGCGTGACCTGACGCCGTTCTACCAGCTCGACAACATTGCTATGAACACGAGCACCGCCACTTTTATTACGAAGGTGGATTTTTGGGGGATTTTATTTTTGTAGGCATTGCTCGTACTTATGTACACAGTGTTTCTTTATGCATACTTTCGGACTACACGCTATGAAATTAAAATTTAAATCACGGTTTTCCTTCGGCGGCGACATCGCCTAAACCGCGATTATGACTAGGCGAAAATCCGTCAGCGTTTGGGCGGTATTATTGGTTGGAAAGGAGTGAAAAATCACGATTTTGTTTTTCGGAAATGGTGATAATTTGCCCTTGGGATGCAAAAAATTATGTAATGCTATACTTTACTAATGGAAATTGAAAAATTTGGTTTTTTACCTGTAACTACGTGCAATTTTTTGTATGTGGAAATTAAAGGTAGCAGAAAGCACGAAAATAGACCCCTATTTGGACTAGGTCTGGACAGTTTCTTTAAAAGGGAGCACTAACTTTCAGCTTCCGAAGCCAGCTGTCACGCTCCCTTTGAACCCCAAATTTTGTCAGCCCCCAAAATCCACATGACTCGGCAGCAGCATCGCCTACACCCCACGTGCACTCTATAGAATCGGGCATCCTCCAAAAAATGTGCAGCCCCAAAATCCAACCCGGCGTCCCGGAAAAGTGTTATCATTTCCTCTCTCCTACCCAATCCAACAAATCCATCTCTACTTTTCCGGGGCCAAACATGCAAAATCCGGTCTCTCTCACTCTCTCTCTCTCTCTCTCTCTTCTCGATTCCTATAGTCCGCCCCGGGCACACCGGCTACGACCCACGCCGCCGTGCTGACGTCTTAAACGGATTATTTTGTAGCTCCGGAAAAGTTGTGTATTCAAAAAAGAAGCCAAAGCGCCCCGGAAATCCGCCAATGGCCCATTCAGACCACCGCGTGGGTTTTGAATAACCTCTGGCAAATCAGAATGGGATGAGCATAGAATGATTGAGCGAAAAATTGGGGGATTAAGCGGGGTGACGAGGGCGCGGGGGTGGACTTGTTGAAGGTGTTGGCACGCTACAGTTAAAGGGACGGGCTCGGCAACCGTATGGATTTTTTGGGTACGAGAGAGGGCAAAAGAAAGGGTATGATAAAGAGCGAGAGAAAGAGAGAGACAGAGAGAGAGAGAAACAAGTTTCGAAATCTAGCCGTCCTAGCTCCTTTAAAACAAAATTTATTGAATTTTTCCAGGCAGTGGTCGAGCACGTACTCCAAGGCCGCCACCTCTCCCGCCCGATCGACATCTTCCACCCGTCGAGAAGTCGCGAGCTGTCCGCCCAGCAAAAGCCGCCAAGCGGGGATATGAGCCCGACCGGCGAAGCGGAGAAGTGCAAGGTACAGTAATTAAAGCGATTATTTGCGTATTTGAAATACCGTATTTCGTACGGAGCCGTTCTTTGGACAATTGGAGAAATGAGCCTTGTAAGACCTTTGCGTAGGGACTGGGAAGTCGGGGAGTTTTTGCAAAAGAACTATAGAATTTTTTACCTTAAGAGAATCTTTAAATTCGACCCTCTCCAACGGCTAGGTCTGGACTGCTACGGGATACACCTAGACACATGCCAATGCATTTTTATAGACGCTGAAGGGACCGTGAAGCCTAGATTTTCTACAAAAACCTGGAAAACTGAGATTTTTACTGTTTTTAAGGGGGCTGGAAATCGCTAAATTCTACCCTTCTGACGACTAGGTCTCGACAGCTACAAGTTACCCCAAATGACGTACCAAGCTGATTTTTAAAGCCCTGGCGATGTTCAAATGCGCAATATGGGAATTTTGGCAGCTGTGCGTAGCTGTCGAATCCCAGTCGAAGTCAGGGGTCGATTCTGGCGCTTTCCAGGCCTTTATAGCCAGAAAAATGGTTGACCAGCGCTTGTTTTTCGATTATCGCTAGCTAGCCAAGGACTTCACCAAATCCGCTACACAACAAATTACGCAAAGGTCTGGTGGCCGGGTCGGTACTATTTTCCGAAAGACGCCAAAGAACGGCTTCTCTCGATTTATGAAGCTTAATGGAATCCTTTGTGTATAGAGTCGCTTCCCGTCCGTGTACTAGCCAAATAGCCTTCGATTCGAATGCCAAGCATTTTGTTAGATTTCACCGCCCAATTCCTTGGCTCTGTCTGTCCTTTGCGCTGTAAATATTATTTTCCCCTGCCCCGATTTCTGATTGCCCGAGTTGGTGGTGAGTTTGTGAAATTTGGAATTTGTGCAGAGATTAGATTAGATGAGATGAGATTTCCTGTGGATTTTGTGCCCTTCAGATTTGCACTGTGGACGGTGGCCTTTGGATTTTCCACCCAGGATTTGCATTATTCGTAAATGTTGAAATCCTCGATTTTTCCGAAATTTTAAAGAAAGAAGAAAATTTGCATACATTTAAATTACGAAATTGATAAATTTCCGACCTTTCGGCGTCTTTAGCGCCGTTTCGACTTTGAAAACTTTAAAATTGCTAAATTCTCGATTTTTCAGCGCTTTTAATGCCTTTTACCGAATTTCAAATATTCCGAATTATGCTAATTTATGGCTTTTGGATTCCAGCCGTTTTTTGCATGAATTTTGCATAAGTCAAAATGTGCAAAATCTCGGTTTTGATGCTTTTCAGAATTATGCAAAGCCGCAGTTTTGCTCATCCGTTTGCTCAATTTTTCCATGCCATTTTCAGCTTTTATTGAAATTACCCTGTGCCGTTTACCTTCCAAATTTTAGTGCCATTTATTGCCAAAGTGTTAGCATTTTTGTAGCCATTTCCCCTCTCTGTATTTAGATCCCATTTTTAATCTGATTTTTTTGGTGCTGTGCATTTTTTTGTAATTTTGTAGTTGTCAACAAATAAATCCATTTTTTATTAACAAGTTTATTTGGAAGGAGCATTTTAACGCATTTTCGAGAGATCTTATCTGGATATGCAATCGAGGGCGAGAGATCATTTCGGGGTACAGAGACGCGGGCGAGGGAGAGCAACAGTTTTCGTTGTTTGTAAAAAAAAGTATAAAAAATTACGGTATATTAAAGGCGATAAAATGATTAAAAATGACAAAGCGAACGGGTGGCCCCAAAAAACGCAACACAGTTTTTTTTGGGGCCTTTGACAGACGGTAAGTAGATGGTCCAGCAGCAACAGCGGGCGGGGGAAAATTCAATTTTTCGAATTTTCCAGGGGCACTGGTAGAGACCACCGTACGCTTTTGTAGAAAAATACGTTTTTCTAATTTAGGATTTATGATACATTTTAAAAGGCTTTTTTAGGTTATCAAGATTTCCCTTCATTTTAAAATTTTCATTTCGGAAATTTTCTATAGAAAATCCATTTTGTATCAATTTAAATTAGGCGAATTTTGGCTTCTAAGCCCCTTAAAATGTTAGAAAATAGTTTTTATAAATGTTAAAAACGTTAAAAAATCGGAATTTTTGGTCAAAATTCTAAAAAAGTCCTTTACCAAAAGAAATTTTTTGGAATTTTCGAATACAAAATTTGTATAATTTCCCGCGATTAAAACCACCAAAAAGCTCTAAATTCTGAAATACGACGATTTCTACAATGCGACTACGGTAGTCTCCACAGGAGACGAGGGCCGGCGTTCAATTCAGGAGATTTCGACACTTTTGCTGCCCCAGGCGGGCCGACATGGCCGCCAAGTTCAGGGCGGGGGCAACGTTTAGGGAACGCGGGGTGCGGTAGATGAGGGATCCCCATAGGGGATACGGTGGGTGATGTTCGCGGCGGTGGACGGGTACATGTGACAACCAGCGAACAGGGAAAGAGCCTTTCGACAGCCGGCGAGCTGCTACTTAGAAGCCGAGCTGCTGGAGCAGGAGCTGGCGCTGGAGGGTGAGCAGCATCTCGGGGGTGTACAGCGGCATCTGGAGAAGGAGGAATTAGGTGTGTGTTTCGTAGTTTTTACAGCTTTTGCTTAGCTTTCCCAGCCTAAACCAAGCCTAAACCAAGCCTAAGTCAAGCGGAAGCCAAGCCTAAGCCCAAGCAAAGCCTAACCAAAGCCAATCCTCACCTGAAGCACAGGGGCCGGCGCCTGGAAGGCGGGCTGGAAGGCCGAAGGCTGGACGAGCGACGGGAAGGAGGTCAGGAGGTGGAGATACTCCTGGAGATCCCACGGCTTCTCGAGGGATGGCGATGGGGGCAGGGTGGCCGGCGAGGTGGTGCCCGACGAGTCCAAGGAGGACGGAGGCGAGATCGAGACGTTGCGCACGCCGGAGCGGTTGTTGCCGTAGTGCACTTCGGTGGTGGCAATGTCTAGAAAATGAGGGTTTTTGAGATGGATTGTGGATTGCTTGGACCTTTAAAGGCCCACAGAAGGCAAAAATCCATCGATTTGAACGTTAAAGGAGCACGAAACTCACCATTCTTTTCCGGGCACTCGCCCTTTGGGACGATGCGGAGTCGCATGTTTCCGTTTTTCGAGCGAATCGTCTGGAGGAGCGCGTCGGATTGGTCGGGGCGGCGGTGGCGGAAGCGGCGTATCAGCGCGGAGGCGCGCATCGACATCACGGCTGAGCACTGCAAGGAGGTCAGATTAGCATTCGGTTTCATTAAATTAAAATTTTACTTTAAATCGCTAGTCGGATTTAAATGGGTTTGAAGAATGGGTTTAAAAAAATACCGTCTCGCAGCGGCACTCGTTGAAGGGGCAGATCGGAGCATGACCTTTGAGAATGGCCTGCACGCCGTGGCCCTCGCATTTGCGGCACGTGAGGCGTTTCACTGGAAAGAGAAAATGTTGAAAAATGCATAAAAAATATTAAAAATACTCTACGGCTACGAATTGCGCCTATAAACGCTCGATTCTTAGGGTTATAGACCCGCTGAAAATGTCCTGAAACGCGACGAAAACCTCAGAAAACCCCAAAAAAATACGCAAACAACCGATTTTTCGATTCAATGCAATTTAAAGAGTATAATTTGAATTTTTTTCCTAGGGTAATTAGTAAAAACTGGCATTTTTATAATTTACACGCTCCTTTAAAATCCTATGAGGCTGGAGAAAGTCACGAAAAATCCCAAAAAAAGCGAAAAATCGATTTTTTAGCAAAAATGAGATTTCCAGGTTAAAAACCCGAATTTTCATAACGTAATTAGTATAAAGCGAAATATTCGAAGCTAGCACGCCCCTTTAAACCCATAAACCCAAAAAAAACGTACTGGCTTTCCTCCTCGAAGCCGTCGTCTCTTCCATACAAGCGTCAAGCGGCAGCATGAAGTTCATCTCGAAAATGTTACGGTAGTGTACGGGAGATTACGTTCACTGCAAGAGGTTACGGTATTCGTTAACCACAAGCGGAATGTAACGGAACCAAGAAAGTGTTAGCCTTATATAGCCCAAGATTAGGGGCGTGTCCCGGATAAACGTTTCGTGCTCATCGCAAAGGGCCCGCGGGGAGTAAATCCCAACTTTTTCGGATTCCGCCCTGCCCGCCCCGGGATTATCGCCGCGTCTACCGTAATCCCTAGGAGGGGACGTCCAGAGGATTATGACGGAGCGGCTCAGGGTAGGCGAGAAAAACAGTAGAAATATCGGGGGGGAGGGAGACAATACTTGACATTTGAATGAGGCTTCGCATGGCTTCAGTTGGAGAGAGAGCGAGAGAGAGAGGGCGAGAGAGAGCGAGGGAGAGAGAGAGAAAGAGAGACAGAGAGAGAGAGAGAGAGAGAGAGAGAGAGAGAGAGAGAGAGAGAGAGAGAGAGAGAGAGGGAGCGACTCTCTTTCTCATGGGAAGAGTGAGAAGATGAAGCCCTAGAATCTTTAATTTACCGCTTTTTACCAGCACAATGCGAGGGAGGGGCCACCGGATTTTCGGGGGCCCATTTTTTCGGCAGGTCAATCTGTGAGGCCAGTTTTCTACAGCCCCGGGTTTTCCACCGACCAGAAAGAGGAAGTGCAAGAGGAAAATGATCAAAAACGTATCGTATATCCGCGGGATACCGTTGGGGAGAGAGAAAGCGTTCGCAACAAAATTGAATTAGAGCCGTAAATAGTTTTCATTAAAAGTCAAGAATTTTTTATGCTACGCAACGCTACATAGCGCTACTCAACGTTACGCTACACTAAGTTTTGACAAGCGCAGCTATTCGCGGCTACGCTACTGTACGGTAGCGTGCCTTCGATTGGCTGTGCCGCCCTAACAACGATGCGGTACGATACACTAGGCTACGCCGCGCTACCCTAGGGTCCCTTAAGCGTCGCTGCGTGCCTCTACGCTTCTGTGGCGTACGGTACATACGACTGAATAGCTGTGCTAAAATACGCAACGACACGGCACGATATACCAATTCACGCTTCGTGGAGGCACGATATGATGCGTTCCGATACGCTACTCAAGCTGAATGTAAGCTGCGGTATGAAACATTATCCCACTCCAGGTTGCGGTACAATACGTTACGCTACGACAAGATGGCATATCACGATATTCTGAGTTCTGTACACCCGAGCAAAAAAACTTAGAATATTTCACATAGCAGATGGCCAAAGCGAAATGCTATGGCCATCAAAAATCGGGAAAAGTTTGGATACGCTACGGCCCGCCACGACGCGCTAGGTAGTCACGAGGGGGAGAATCCCGCTTTTTAGAGCCCGGATTCGGAAAGGATTTCGTGTGTTATGCCGCTCTCCACTGCAAACCGTATCTAGTTCTCCATCTCAGAAACGACAATTACGGCAAAGGCATGCCCAAAAGGTATCCAATGATATCCTGACGGCCCTTGGAGAACCTTCAACCACTTGAACCTGACGGCCCTTGGAAAAACTTGAACGGCCTTCAAAGAACCGAATTTCAAGGGGTCGCGTTTTAGAAATGCTAAAAGCTTGTGAAAATCTATCGACTGCTGCCTTGATGGTTCCTTTAAACAGGTTTTTACTTTTTAATTTTTGAAGTATTACTGTAACACCAACCTATTTTTAGCCTATTTTTAGCAAATTCAATCATTGTCTCCATGGGGGTATCGACGTCCGGTTACCGAAGCCGAAAAGCGGCTTACCCGGCTGCGTGACCCTCCCAATTTACACCGTCACACCAAAAGTCATGCCGGAAGGGGGGACGTCAGGATGAGAATACGAAGATCCTGCCAGTCTCGTGCGCCGTTTTTGATTAGAAAAGTGAAATTTTTGGCTTTGCGTGACTTTTGCGATATTTGTCGCCAGAATTCTTGCACCTAAAGTTCGGTTCGATCATCAAACACCGACGAGTTGAAGGCGTTCACCCAGTAAAAGAGTTTAACGGTACGCGCAAATCCGTGATTTTCGCGTTACGGTGCCGTGCCGTGCGTGCGCATTGCGTATCGCCTGCGCGGCGAATTCGGCTTAAAATCGAGAGCCAAAAAAAATCTATAGAATTGTCTATCTATCTGTCTGTCTCTCTCTCACTCTCTCTTTCTCGATCTCTGGATCTCTCTCTGTTTCTCTGGCTTGCTCTCTCCCTTCCTCTCTCTCTCTCTCTCTCGCTCTCTCTCTCTCGCCCTCTCTCTCGACATCCTTAAAAAATGCAGCGACCTTTCTCTTACCCTCCGTGGGCGTCTTGGCTTAAGCTAGTAAAAAATGGCACCCCGACACGATGTAATAATGGTTGATCGGATTTTTGAGGCGCCAAATCTCCTCGCGGATCCTAACTAGAAATCCTCTCTAACCCCCGCGATTTGAGGATGAGATTTGGGCAGTGTAGAGAATGGAGTGAATTACGGAAGATCAGAAAGTGGTGACATTTCCACGATCGGAGTTCATACGGTAGGAGGCGGAAGGGAGAAATTCAAGGACCCAGGGAGTCTAGCAGCGATCATTTGGGAAATTTTGTATTGCCGGAGAAATAGCGGAGATCATTTCGGATTGGGGGAAGCAGGCTAGCAGAATTTTATGATTCTCGCGACAGGTCAGCAGACATAATTAAATATTGTTTGTTTGTTCGTAGATCTTTTGGGAATGGGTTTTCGCTATTTCTGTTTGTTTCTCTTTCTCTTTAGCCCTCTCTCTATCCTCTCTCTCTCTTTCTCTCTCTCTCTCTCTCTCTCTCTCCTATCTCTCTCTCTCTCTCTCTTTCTCTCTCTTTCTCTCTCTCTCTCTTTCTCTCCCTGTCTCTAACTAGCTTACTGTCTCCGTCCCTTTAGAATCATATCAGTATCAGGGTCAGCTGCACTGGCTTCAAATTTTGGCCCTAAATCTCTGATTTCTACAACTTGCATAACATTCCAATTGTTCTTGATGTTTATTGGGTTCTACAGATTCTATAGATAATATTACCGGTCCCGTGAATAGGTGTTTGCCGTACGCTCTCTTTCTCTCTCTCTCTCTCTCTCTCTCTCTCTCTCTCTCTCTCTCTCTCTCGCTACCTCTATTTCTCTTTCTCCAAACGGATCAACCCGACCAACCCATGCTGAATAGTTTTTTGTTCGGCTCGTGCCTTTGCCCAAAAATTCTAATTAACCCGGGTTTGTGTGGATATCAGAAAGGGCAACCTTTTTCGACCAATGGTCCACATGAAAAGACATTTTTCAGGTGGGGTGGGCTGAGATTAATCCTCCGAAAATCCCCCAAAAGTTTGGCCCACTCACACGACCTACTGATTGGATTCTGAAGACGCCCTTTCTTGTGGTGATCCCCCACCACCCTCACTTTTGCGCGGAATCAGGGGTGTAGAAACTAGAAAACGGGGATTCCCCTTTGTTAGGGGTTTTGCAAAGTGAGACTGGATGTTAGGGTCTTTCGCAGAAAATTCAGCAGTTGAAGCCGCACGAGCCGGAAAAAATGGAAGTGTGGAAAATCAGGTGAGCTGTGACCGGGGTAAAATCAAGAAATCAAATTCGGGGTGGCGACGCCTTCCGAAAACTTAAAACAATGCGAAGAAGTCAAAGCTGCGAGGAGAAACGACCTTTTAAAGGGATAAAGAAATAAGGAAATTTATGCTATGGCAAAGATCCGTGAATAACTGTTTAGCTATGTAAAAAACTACCTGCATTTAAACAGCTTTTTTCTTGACGGAATTTTGGTTTTTAGATTATTCCTGTCGAGAATTTTGTCTGTCGGCTTTCGAATGTCGGTATTTTGCCGTTTCCTCGTCACTTCTTGAGTTGCTCGCGTGAGGTTTGCCACGCCGAAACTGTTCAACATACGGCGACGATAACCATACGGCCTGCTTCGGAACGTCCGGTCCAAGACGGCAGTCCAACACTTGGCAGAATTTGTTTTTCTAATTTTTGACGTAACTTGTAGAACTGCCGTTGTGGACATATCATCCTTGTGGTCATCGGAAAATGGCTAGTTCTTGGCTGGCCGCCTGTTTTCTGTCGTCTTCCCCACGTCATGAAGTACTGTTACGTACCACCGTTCTGTCTGCCGGTCGCGCATAGTATTTTTGTTTGTCACTCTGTACGCTCTGCCTTGTAAAGTCATTTACGGACCGTTCCTACACATTGTTTACGAATGCTCTCTCTCTCTCTCGTCTCGCTCTCTCGCCCTCTCTTGCTCTCTCTCACTCTCTAGCTCTCTCGGTCCCTCACTCTCTGGCTCTCACTCTCTCTCGCTCTCCTATCTCTCTCTCGCTCTCTCTCTTCTCACCCTAACGGGGAACCAAACGCTGATATTCCAGGCTCAGCGTGAGCTAAAATTACCCGGCTTACCGTAGCCCGATCGTCAGAGTATTGTTACGTAGGATCTTGGCATTTTTTCGCGGTTTTTTGTAAGCTCCCATCTATTTCGAGATCTTCAAAGTTGATCCCAGCGAACCCAAAGCGAGAAAGAAAGAGAGAGAGAGAGAGAGAGAGAGAGAGAGAGAGAGAGAGCGTGAAGAGATAGATAAATCTATTTTTGCAAATCTCGGCAATTAATCCCGTTTTTGTGCCTCGGCGGTCAGTATTTGTGGGGCCAGCCGGGGTTTCTTTGGCGCTAAAATTAGCATTTTCTCGGTGGTCGGAGAAGTAGCAGAAAAGAGGGGATTAGGAGCCGTTCTAGAAGATTTGGGGACGACGTTTTATTAAGTTATATAAATGTAGAGATAAATATTGCTATTAAAAGCACTCTAGTGATAATTCCAGCAAGCTAGCAGCGTTTCTTAGGGAATTTTGATGGCAAGCTAACAGAGAGAGTTTGGGAAACCTGAAAATCAGCTAAATTTTTTTGACCTAAGCTGGGATAACGAGCAGAAACTCAGTAGAAAAACAGGGCAAGCTAGCGGTGCCACCTGGGGAAACGGCCCGCTAGCAGTGGCCCTTGAGGAATTTGCA